GTGTGTGTGTGTGTGTGTGTGTGTGTGTGTGTGTGTGTGTGTGTGTGTGCATCCGCAGGGAGTTTGGCTGGAGGGATCCAGAGCTACCGGAGGTAATCCAGATGCTACAGCATCAGTTCCCATCAGTCCAGTCGAACGCTGCCGCCTACCTCCAACATCTCTGCTTCGGAGACAACAAGATCAAATCTGAGGTACTGGTCTCTGAAAGGAGGCGAGATTAAACTTTTCATGATGGGCACATTATCCTTTAGCTTGTTTTAATGCAATCTTAGATGCTCAGGTTTCCCAGGTTCATAAACTCAACACAATCATATTATATACTGTACATCAAATCTTATGGGAAGATAAATATACTGCAAAAGTACCTGTTACAGTGCCTTTCTTCTAAATGACAGTTTTCTGCTTTAAAAGAGTTTGTATTCCAGTTTTATAAACTTAATACCTTTATGTTTTGCAGTGGTAAATTTTGAAAGTGTTAAAGGATTTAACATGTCTGGACCAACCCATTCTCACTCCCAACTCGTCAACATATTGACRCTTGGTCAGGTACCGTTYACGTCCAGTTTTGGATGCATCGGRTACCCCCCTCGCATCAGTTATTAACGAGATGAGGTGGAGGAGGAGCGCCTTGTCATATTTTTGAAAAGAGAAGGAAATGCGCGAGAACTAACTGTCACAGACCCAAATTTGAACTTCTATCATCCCTGTACAGCCTATCCCCAACCTCAGTACCTAACATTAACCATTAATCCTGATCCCTCATATTAACCATTTTTGAAAGTGTAGAGAATGTGCRACAACTAACTGTCCCAGACCCTAAATTTAACTTATATTAGCCCTAGACATCCTGTCGCTGACCTCAGTACCTAAAATTAACCATTAATCCTGATCCCTCATATTAACCACAGACCCCACAACCCAAAAACCCMWATGTGGTGCAACCCAGAAAAGCCGCAGGCGTGACTAACTGACATGAGCGGGGTACCTGACTCGGCAAAACTGGACGCAGACAGTACCTGACCAAGCGTCAATATGGTGAGGAGTCAGGAGAGGAAATGTGTTCCTGGACCACAGCTAAAGCCAAAAAAATACATTTCTATCAGAATAGCTGCGCCTGACGATGTTGGCCGTTTTTCTTGCCACAGGTTGAGCTGAGTGTTATTATTTATGTTGGTATGGTTTGTCAAAATCCTCACATAAAATTGTGTTTGGACTGAAAATAGGATTTTCATCTATTCTGCATTTAAAACCACATGAACAAGAGATCACTTCTCTTCTTTCTTCTCATTTATTTCATTCTCGGTACAGCTCTCTGGGGCTTTGTCCTAATTAATCAATKAAATAAATAACCGTGCTTCATTTTTTAAAGACTGTTTTCTCTTTTTTTTCTCAGTTTTAAAACATCTAGCTTCAACATTGTGTTCACGACAAACTCATGCACAGTTTTTAAAATGTTGCGAGATGATGCTCTTAAAAAAGAAGGAAAGAAAGATAAAGCTTAGAAGCTGCAGCAAGATACACATTAAAGCTTGGTAAAAAATATAATTATAATATTTAAATATCTTCCCACCAACTAATCTAAAATTCATTAATTGAAAATAAWTTCTTGTTTTCTTTTGATGTAGAGTTTGCAGGGGGTTGTTTTGTTTTCTTGTTTGTTTTTTAGTTTGTCTTTTTTCAGTTGATGTCCAACATAACAATAAAAATGGAAATGGAGCACACAGCAGGGACACTTTTGCTCATGTCTTTTAGCTCAATCGAGTGTGCTGCCTTCTCAGTCTTGTTTGTCATTAAAGGGACGGTTCATCCATTCCGGGCCATGTCCTGACATTGAGCAGGCAGCTTGTAAATCTGCACAACTTGCTTTATTGTAATGCAGCCGTTATCGTTAACACAGACACCTGCGATATATCAATATGTTTTTTAGCCTGTGCCACGTTGCCTCAAGGGACGATGATTCGTCTCCATTCAGAGCAAACCCCATGAGACGTGTGTGTCTCTACGCGATATCTACCTCACTCTTCATCAGACGGTATTAACCTCTCCGTCCGTACGCTTTACCCAGCTCTGAATCTAGCCTTGTKTTCCCGCTCTCATTTATTCCAGCCTCCAGAGAAATCACCCCTCAGTGTCCTATGGAAAACTGCTCCATCTGTCTCCTCAATGTCAGTTCTGTTTAGCTCAGTTYGACTTTATTAGTCCTTATGGAGACGAAGGATTTGAGGGGGGAAACAATGTTCTTCAAACAGAAATCAGCCAACAGGCATTGCACACGGAGTGAGGGATAAAATGAGAGGAGAAGACGGATGAAGCGTGGTGATGTGCCGGGCTCGACTGCCCAAACTAGACCCCGAAGGCAAAACATTGTTTTGCCCTTGAGAAAGATGCTCGAATAGTGAAACTGTAGACTGAGGGATATGTATGACCTACTGCTTGATTGTTCTCTTAGCAAGCAGCGTGTTGTTCATGTTATACGTCTGCTCCCGGGCATCCAAACCATATTTCCTAGACTCTATTAAAGAGATCCCTACAGCTTCTGTATCTCTGTAAATACAAAGAAATAGCTTTTACTCRATCAGTTTTACTAATTTAACTAAAACTTTRCGTTTGGAATGCGWACTCCGAGTGAAAAGATCATCTAGTGTTTCTTAATTTCTTTATTCCCTGTGTTAGTTTTGTTCTTCCGTCTGTCTCTGCTCCAGCCCCGCCCCCGACTCACCTTTTCCCGTCCCTCTCCTCARGTGTTTCTCGTTTACGCTTGTTAGAGTCTCTTAATATTCTCAGTCTTGCCTCTACCAGTTTCTCTGCCAGTCTGCTTTTCTCCCCATGTTGCCCGCCACAAAGTGTTCTTCATGTACACACAGTGACCATTCCTTTCCGTCTGTTAGCAAACTAGCTCTTTAGCTTGGATGGGCGTCTTAAATGGTGGAAGAGGCCACAATATTTCACTGAGCTAGTGGATGCATTTCATTAAAACTCAGAGTTGTTCATGACAGTTGACATTAGGACAGACAAAAAAAAGAAGTTACAACTCTGCTTTTTATTTTATATATTGGGGCAAAATTAGGTGTGGTAGTAGCTAGGTTTAGCACAAATCAAATAAGAGTCCTGGTTTAGCTCTTTGCCATGAAAGTTGGCAGAAAAACTGTTCCTTCAAAGAAATACATTATGTATTTTTATAATTAAATGAAAATTACAGAATAAACACTCACATAGTTAAACTTTTTATAGGYGTTTATGACTACTCAAGCTATAGCTAACCATGTAGCCTCCCAACTATTAGCTACAGCCATGACGCAGTGATGTTTTTTTCCTCCCTATTGTCATCATGTGAGCGATCTTGTTTGWTCATATCCATGCACAGAGCCCTCGGTCCTCACCAAAGTTGTAAATCTTCTGTGAGCTTTGAGGGTTGACTCTGAGGGATGACTTTTTTTCCCACAGACTGAACAGATGTAAAATGGCTGCTAGAGAACAAGTTGTCCTTGTCTTTGCTGCTGTCACATCATCTGTTCCACTTTCTCTTTTTATACGTCAAAATAATCGCAGACGGTCAGGATGCCTGTCAGCTCTCAGCCACAGACAGCCRAAGCGTCCTCGAGTCCAACCCAACCACAAGCTTTTGGAGATATTAAAGTGAAGTGTGGAGGGGGGAGTTTTGATTTGTGGTGGAGCTCATCCTTTGTCTCCAGACCACAGCTGTAACTGGGTCTCAGTCGTTTTGTTAATCTACTTTCACTATCTGGTCTGTACTTGCTTTTGTTGTATGGATGCTGCTCTTTGTGGCTTGTGTTGACATTGTTATGTAACTCCCATTTTCGGCCTACACTTACATCAGACTGAAGCTACAACTATAGGATTGTTAGTTCCATTTTTTTTTCTAAGTTTTTATCATGAAACTGAAATTAATTGTAACTTATCCAACAGAGAAAATCCAAAGTGAAAGGAAGTTGCTTTGCTAATGGAAGTAAAGCCACAGCAATTATTCTTYTAGCTGTATTTTTAATTATCTACATTGTATTTTTGTTTGTTTATTTGACATAATTAGAAGGCATCKTGCTTCAGATATTTTGTATTAAAATATATATTTTTGAACTGTTGTTTTCCAGTTTGAGATTTTCAATCACTGTGCTCCAACTGTACAAGACTTTGTGTTTTTACCTGAAATATCTAAGACAAAGTGTGCAAACACYAGTGTGGAGTTACTGTGTAGTCTGCCTCACTGAAATAACTCTTGTTTTATAGAAGAAMAGCCCGTATGCCCTACATTTTCTTTATTTTTATGTTTTTATTTTTTGGCTACAGTAAAGAATGCAAGGGAGTGCTGACAACAGAGGGGTGGTCTACAAGTGGTTCTTTTTTAAATCATTTGTGCAGAATCCCATATTTTGATATTGATACAGGTTATTAGGGGTGTTTTTGTCAAACTGAATATGAGTACAAGTACTTCAGTTTCTGTACTCGTCGATACAGAGCACTGACATGAGTACTTATTGAGTTAGAACTTAAACATTAAACAATGACTTTAAAATCAGGTATTGCCGATACCGATACCAATACTCATCATGTTCATTGAACAATTGTGTGATTTTGCCTTTRGTTTGTCTATTATGATAAAGCACAGGACAAAGAATTTAGGCAAATAAAAATGTTTTGTATTAATTAACCACAACTAAAGGAAACAATGTAACTGTAAACATATTTAAATAATTTCCCTGTTATCTTCTTACTACACACAATTATTTAAGAAAAAAGTCACTAGTGCAAAAAAAGAAGCAACAATGCGACAAAAATATTAATGATTTCAATAACACAACAAAAATAAGTTCCATTCCATTTGGGCAGACTAAAGACTAACTCCACACAGTTTGGAGACTCTGCATTACTGACTTTATTTTTCACTTTATGTGTGAAAAAGAAAGCCATCAGTGCAAATAAAGTGTACACAAAAGAATCAATCTCATTACAACAGTATTGATACGATGCAAATACTTATCTTGGTATGGATAATATTAATACACCCATAATCGATACTTGTATTGGAATCAGGGCATTTTGTACAAGTACTTGCAAAAATGGTGGGATTGATATGGGACACTACTGCCAATTCTTACTAGTATGTTGAGCTGGAATGTACAGTATATTACGGTCTAACTTCTTAAACCTAAATTAATGCAGTACTAAAACACCAAATAATTAAGTCAAACTAAACCTTTCCTTGTCTTCTTATTGTTATACAGATACGAAGGCAAGGTGGAATCCAGCTGCTGGTGGACTTATTGGACCACCGGATGACAGATGTGCACCGCAGCGCCTGCGGAGCCCTGAGGAACCTGGTGTACGGCAAAGCAAACGACGACAACAAGATCGCCCTGAAGAACTGCGGCGGTATTCCCGCTCTGGTCCGGCTCCTCAGGAAAACCACAGACGTGGAGATCCGAGAGCTGCTCACGGGTAAGACACRTGGAGTTGTAGCATCTTGTTTGTGTCTGCTCTCAATAATTTGACGCTTTACGGTAAGCCGAATCTCGGATGTAAACGTCGGTTAAATAATTAGCAGTTGTAGCTTTGTCGATGTATTTTTACAGCATYACTATATACATATCATCCCAATCAGCCACAGTAAAAGTGCTCACCTCCTGAGGGATATGGAGAGATGRCACTGCTAAAAAAAGGAGCGGCACTCAATTTTGCACCTGATCTACACCTCGAAATCCCCGAGGGACGGAGGTGGATGGGTGAGGAAAGTAATTCCAATTCAGGAACCAAATGAGGAAAGATGGATTTCTCTTAGCGGCAGCCACATTTATGAAAACATCTCTGCTAAGGGCCCATAAAGATGATATCTGTCATGTTGCTTCTGAGAGCAGCTGTCAGTTTGAAAGAAAACCTATTTCTCAAGTCGAAACCAGGAGGACCACACCAAAACACTATACTTAGACGTGTCAAGATGTGTGCTGCAAACTAGGAGCTGCAGAAAGAAAAGACGCTGTGCAATTTTATTTTACACATTTAGATTATTTACATTAGAACTGTGAAAAGCAAAAACATGTTTAGCTGTATATTAGATGAAGTGTTTTAAGCTATTTTTTTGCATGTCTGTCTGTGTCAATCAGTGTTTTTGATGTGGCYTATTACCTAATTTTCTCTGTTTTTACAAAAAGCAAATACGAGTCTCAGATCTGAAACAGACTTTTAAACATTAACTGCAATATTTTTTTTCATGACAACAAGTTTAATTTAAACAAATGTTCACCTGGATAAAAAAGAAAGCACAAAACAGCTGGTTTAAATTTTGAATTTAGATTTGTTTTATTTATTTAGACAACAAAAAGGGTCCCGAAATAAAGAAAGACTGACTTAATTGATAGTTCAGAGGTTTTGAAGTGGAGCTCTGTCAAAAGATTATGAGCAATTAATATCTTACCTTCTGTAGATATTTTTTAACGGGCATAGTTGGGAGAAATGATTTTATATTGACCACTGATTGACAAATTAATGGCTAATTTGAGTAGTTTGGATTGTTTCTACCATCAAATTGCTCTAATCTCATATCAGTTAAATCAGTTTATGCTAACACTATTTTTTAAACTTTTACGTCACTTTTTATTCAGTGATTATTTGCATGCAATCATATAGTTTATGCAAACACAAGACTGTAGCACTTCCAGCAACATCATTAAATATCTGCTTAAATAACCTTGCAACGTAAAACTTTGGATGAACTACTTTGGCATATCTTTAGATGTGAGTTGTTTGAAGACAGCGCTAATCCACTGAATGAGTCAAGTGTAAACTAAATTGTTAAAAAGTGTCACATTTTCATTATTTAGCACACTTTCTGAGTGTTAAATCCTCGTTAAAAAATTTCCATTAACATTTTGTTGTTATTTAGCTTACTGTTCTTACATTTTGTTAAACTTTACTAAATGTTAAATGTTTTGGCTAAAAGATAAATCTAAATGTGTAAACCTAAATGTGACTATTTTCGAATGGAAACAGTGGTTGGTGCGCAGCATTTGCTATGATGTCATAATCCTGCATCATAAACAAAAGCTAATGCTGCTGCAGCTTCTATACAAAAAATCAAACCTGTAGTCTGGGACAGTGTCCGAACTCATTGAACACATTTTTCAATTTAAATTTAAAATGTCATTTTCAGCACCTTTAGTGTTTGCTTATGTCGCAGAATGATGATGGCATAAGAAAACGGCCAAGTCGGTTCCATTCTGAAATTCTTAAATGTAGTTTTAGCATTTAGCTGCAAGATGTAAAAGCGTAATTTAGACATTTAGATTCACACATTTAGATTTAGGATTTAACATTTGCAAATAACATTTAGTAATAAAAATTTGTAAAATGTAAGCACAGTGAGCTAAATAACAACACATTTTAGTGAAAATTTTTACTAGGATTTTCCATTTAGAAAGTGAGCTAAATAATGAAAAAATTTACTGACTTTTTTAGTATTTTATTTTACACTGACACCCCATAGCACTGTGATCTTTGAAACACTCTACTGTCCTATCATAAATAATCTCTGTTTCTTCAACTTGAGTTATTTTAACGAGCTGTCTACAATAGGTAAGATGTTTCTTATTTACTACATCTTCCTTGAATCACTCCAAAAAAATATATACATACCAGCACCTTATAGATGTCAGGTTTTTTAACAGCCAAACTGCCATGAATTTGACAGAATTCTTAAACATTAGAGCGTTTTAACCACAGCAAACTGCACCCAGTGTCTGCCTCCTTCCCAAGCTGCACTTCACACCTCGTGCTGATGTGAGATTCTGGCCGTGGACAAACATTATCATCATTATTCACTCCAACAAGACATGGTTAAGTAATCGTAACAGGAAAGTGAGAACTGTCCTCGTGACTCCCACATGCAGGCACATTTTGTGCAGATTACAAACCATGTGTGCGTTTCTGTACCAGCTTATGTGTGCGGTGAGTCTGAAAAAACAAAATAAATAAATAAAAGGTTTTAAAGCCAAACAAAGATGGAAATAAAAATGGTTTTAGTATGCTGTTAGAGTCTTAAGGAAGATTACCATATAAATTAGAGCGGCAATTCAAGGCACGCCGCACAGAAATYCCCTTTGTCACAAATTAATCAGCACAACGACCGGTCGGACTCAGACAGACTGCTCTGTTCTCTCTCTTTCAGTGACCCACAGGATATATATCCCGCCTCTCTCTCTCTCTCTCTCTCTCTCTCTCTCTCTCTCTCTC